AAAGTTAAAATGTTTTTAATACTTATGTGGAGGCTTAGATTTGTAAGTTTTTTATTTAACTTTTCATGATCTAAATTAAGGCATTTTGTATGGAAATAGCTCAACCAGCGAAAAATGTTTGTTCGGTCAAACAAACTGTTCGGCCAAATACAACTAAGTTGGTAAAAAATTTCAAATAGTTGAGCGAGTTTCTATCTTGCTTAGCTTGAAACAAATATTTAAAGCCAAATATCCATTTTCTTGGCAGTCTGAAATTTTCGTAAACCAATCGCAGCAGTAAAAAATGATCTTTGAGCTGAAAATTCTATTCAGAAGTGCGCGCTACTATTCCACAGAGTCTTAGATCGAGCTCAGTTTCCGACAAACATCAAAAACAAAAGAAAATAAATCGTTTTGATTAATGCCAAAATTTTTACTGAATAAGCTTCAGTAGCTACTGATTTATCGCAGTTTATGTATTATTGTATTATGAAGGGCAACCCACATACCAAGTTCCGTTGAGATATCCAAACGCTTACTCCATTTGTTATGTGCACAGACAGGCGGACATACGATCAGCCTTAGTCGATTTCTCTTTTCATTCTGAGCATTTTGTTATAAATATATATGTATGTCTAAATCTATCTCGATTTCTTTATGCTGTTACAAACAACCATTATGTGAACGAAGCTATAATACCTTTGTGCACAATTGCGGTCGGGTATAAAAAAAAGTAAACTGAAGATGATACTGAACGCTGAAACCGGTTTGCCTCCAAACCAAATCTGACAGGGGATGGCCGAAATTCATTCCAAAATACATCAACCCAAAAAACTATATATGGATGTACATATGTGAGCCTCCACATAAGTATTTAAAACATTATAGCCTGCTGGGTTATGAATAAAGTTCAACACTTTTTTAGCAAAGTTCCGACAATTTTTTGAAAGAGAGTATAAAAATAAAAACAAAAGGGATAGTATTTCCAAAATAAGTGAAGATAAATCAAAACGGGTTTTAAGACCAAAACCTTTAAAGGACCAGTTATAGTCCTGAGCGAGAACTTTTCGGCGACATAAAGATTTAAAAAATTGGGCATCAAATAAGAAAGTTACAGGAAAAAATGAGATTTAACTGTTTTTAGCGGGTGTCTAAAAAAAATTATACACCCAAAATTTTTTCCCGACATATATAGTGATACGACTTAATATGTGTATCTTTATTGAATTTAATAAAACAACAAAAAATTCATATGAAAGTTTGTCCTTTATTTTCACTTAGAAAATATGGTCACCGTATTTATGCGTTATGAACGGTTGATATTTGAAACTATCGTTAAGCGATAAACAAATGTCAGAATTAGCATCATATATGAACGTTAAGTCTTATGTGGATTTTTATATCAGAATCTCATGTTTGTGGCCGCTGTGGCATAGTGGCTAGCAGTGCGCACTTCCATTCCGCAGGGCCTGGCAAACCTCCGAGTGTATTTCTGCCAAGAATTCACAATCACGAAAAGCATAATTTCAATAAAAAAAAAATTCTTTGAATTTAAAAATTTATAAACTTGTGCGATAATTTTAAAACTTTTATTAAAATTAGTGATGTTTGAAATTCAACCGTGGGCACAAGCTGGCAGTGAAACTTGCAAATTCCTATAAATTAGCGTTCGTGTATAAATTTGCAAGTTTATCTACTCGAGAGAGAATTTTTCTCACACCTATTACTGATCGTTCCCAATTAGGCGGGTCTACGTAATCGGAACGACCCAGATCTACATCTTGTCTATGACTGTTCCCTCAGAAGATGTCTTTGAAACCCTTTGGGAAACGTTTATCCTTTCGTAGTCGCTAATTTGTTTCGCCTTATATACAGTTATATTGAAGTGAGGAAATCTTCCGTGAAGGTATATCCATCAGAAGGACACCCTCGATCGAAAAAATTAAATATTTGATAATATCTTAAAAAAAAGTAATATTTTTATTGGAACTCAGTTTTTATGAAGACAAAAGCAAATCTAGTTAAAATAGGAAACACCCGGTAAATAAATGCGGACTCATTTTAGGGTAGGAAAAGTCTCAGAAAGAAAAGTTAGAAAAGGGTATATCGTTCCCTAAACGTGAAAAGGTGTCCAGTCCTTTTTTTTTAATTGTTCAGGAGAGCCGAAATGTCGATGTAGTTTTGCATTATCTCTCACTCTGCATCAAAAACTAAATTTTCCGTCAAGTCCACGCGCCTTTAGGTTGTTGATGTTGTTACCAACAGGTTGGGTGTATGATCTATTTTGGAACAAATGTCAAGGAATGACAGAAATTCGTTCCAAAATACATCATATTCCCCTTCTTAGAACGACACGCCAGTACGAGTCCAAGTGAGGAGTCGAATTAGAGCCTGAAATATTACGCTTTTCTGAGTCTTCAAGCAATTCTTTATAATTCTGTTTGTTAATAAACTTTTACTTCTACTTGTACCTTGTTACTTTTGTTCAACTCAGAATTTATGAGACCAAAAGGGTCCGAAATAAGAGAGTCTAGTTGACTGGTCTTAGAATCATATTTTAAACGGAAGAAAGGCTCAGTTTAGACTAATAAATTCTGAACATTGAGAAAATTGTTTAAAAGGTAAGCATATTTTCATCGTTTACTGGTTTTAATGGTATTGTGTAATTAACCTAACCTAACCTAACTGATGTTAACTAAATGCATAAATGCATAGTTCCACTAATCCCAGTAGGAAAATGGAATGTTTGGTAAATTTGTAGAAAGTAATACATTACAAGATGCATCATTTTTTGTACAGGCATGTCCTAGGAGAGTTATGTGTTGCGTGTCGCTTTATAAAACTATAAATAGAAAAAAAACGATAGAAGAAAAGCGTCCGTGCACCGGGATTTGAACTCGCGACCAACAAGTTGGTAGTCGAACACGCTATCATTCGGCTACGGCAGGCGTTGAGATAACGTGGAAAAAGACTTAAAGTACTTAAATTTGTTCTCAACCTATTTTTGTTTGTGGCTACAGATCTGCCAATATCCCTTCTATTGCCTCCGATTAGGGAAATGGAACTTTTGGTAATGTATCGCCGTACACATCAATAGAGGTGGGTAACTCAGCACTGTGCTGAGTTACTGTGCTGACT